TGTAACTTTTAATAGTCAGGGGATTCAATAAAATATAATCTCATAATTAGGAGATTATTTATGTACTTTACTCGTTTTTTTAAATCAATGACTTGAATATCCCATGTATTTAACTGCTTTTGTTACTATAATATTTTCCAAGGCAAAGTACAAAATGATTCATTTACAATTGGGTGTTGTTTTATCAAGTCACTCAATTACTAAAAATTATAAAATGATAATCTGATTATATGATGTTGTTTTGTTGAATCTCTCAACTATTAAAAATTACAAAATAATCACTTGACTATTCATATATTCTAAACTGGTCATTTTCTGTTAAAGAATTACGACAATCTTAATTTGACGTTAACCCACTGACTGAAGTATATTCCAAACATTTAATGTAACATGATATAACAATATTTTTAATCCCGTAAACTTATATATTTTATTAATTTTATTCTTATTAAATAAATTTAATAAATTTAACCATTCATATTTAAAAACTTTCATCGAACTTAATTTTTTTACGGTACTATCAAAACAAACTGCTCCATCAAATTAAAACAGTAGTTAAATAATTGCATTTTGCCATAAAACAACAAAACATTACTATTAGACTATTATCATACTAGAAAATAGTAGAAAAAACAACATAATATTGCGAGAGAAGAACACGGAATAAAATGATAAAATTTTAAATATTAATAATTAGATTTATTGAATTATTTTGAATTAAGATCAAATTAATATATTAAATAAAGATTAAAATTATTATTATATCAACTTACATCATTATTCTCGTTTAATATTTAACAAAAAAATATCATATTTATAATTTATAACTTTAGAAGATAAGTACGTATAAACTGCTTTTGGAGTGGTCCCATAGTTAAATTTGAATAACATAATCTATATGTACATGTGAGTTTAGATCTAATTATTTTTTTTATAAAAAATATGAACTGCTTTAATCGTTTGTTTACACGTGTAAAATAAAATACGCAGCTAAACTTGATACGCACGTCATTCAAAAAGCCATAAAGTCAGCCACTCAAATGCCATTTTTAATTCTGGATTGGTCTTCCAAAGTTGAACCAATGACCCCTCGGCCCCCGTTCCTTTACTTTGATTTAAAGTTCAAATGTTTAATTCCATTGGTTATCCTTTAATATGACACATATTTTTAATTGGTCCTTGAATCTTAAAATTTTCAACCAAAACCTTCAGTTAGTCTAATTATCAAATTAGGTATTAAACACCAAATCAAATCTGACATTGAAAATATTTGCATGCAGCAACAGATTTACATAAGAAATTAGAGAAGCCCGACCGCCACCCAATTCTTTGGTCTAATGGTAAATTTAGTCCCTAGAAGTTTGAATACATGTCAAAATAAACTGTCTCTAAATTTATTAACTTTGAAACTAGACAATTTGATCATCCCCGTCTAAAATCTAGGAATAAATTTAAAATTCTAGGTCGCAGTTTTACAAGTTATTTTTCGATAGCTTTGTTTTCATCCAAACACATGGCACATGGCTAGCTTCCCATGTACCATGACGGTCCGTCGGTGGTTCATTAATTAATTTTTTATTAATCATTAATTATAATTAAATATGGAAAACACTTCACTAATCTCTCTTAATATACATAAACACGTCAGTGAAATGCATGTGCCAGAAACATTCCCCCTCGGAGAAAATTTTTCAGAAAATTAAATAAAAAACACATATTTTTTAAAATGTGATATATGTAGCAACCAAACAGCAAAGCCAACCCGTTGAGCTGTGCCAGTGATCACAGCCACATACAAAATCAAAGCAAATTTGTTTTTTTTTTGTCTGATAGCACAGAGAGAACGCCCCTGCCACATGCACATACACATGCTGCTTGCCGATACTCCCAAATCAGAGAAACGCATCCTTCTCTAGCAACTTGACCACCTCGTGCTGATTTGTTCAGTTTTGCAACGTCGATGGCCGTCTTTCCGTCCATGTTTTGGGGTGTGCTGCAGTGAGAGACGAGAAATTACCTTCGTAAAAGGCAAAGTATATAACATAAGAGTCGGCATCGATGGATGATACAAGTTGTTTACTTACACAGCAGCGCCGTTTTCCAGTAGAAGGGCCACACAGTCTTTCCTTCCATAACCAGCAGCGTAATGAAGCGCGGTGTTCTTGTTCTTGTCCAAAGCATTGATTTTTGCTCCAGCTTCAATAAGGACTTGAGCACATTTCACCTGAAATTATATCGAGTTTATTAGCTTTAACCTTCCAGACAGTAAACAAGATACCAAACCTATCCTTTGAAAGCAATAGTTCGAATAGATGTCTGGTAGTGGCGGATAGCCATACGTAAACGCTGAACCAAGAAATAAGCATATCATATTAGCTGGCAGATTCCACAATATAAAGATACAATAAGCATTAGTAACTGCCATGGATACTGCATGCTTAGTAGGCAATTAGTGATTGAATCTATCTGGTTTTTGCATCAAATTTGTCCTCGTTAGAGGCTACATTTTTCGGGTGAGAAAGATTCAGTTATAAAACTATCTTACCTCTCCATATCCACATGCAAAATGCAATGCCGTCCTTCCCTCTGAATCTTCTTCATCCTTGTCAGCACCAGAAGCTAGTGCAGCTTTCAGACCCTAAATCATGATTAGTGTCAAAACTTTATGGATTATCTGTCAAAGGGGAAGAAACATATGTACAAACAGTTAAACCATACCTCAACATCACCAACACTAGCACAATTATTAACGATTGATTCATCCTCATTCCCTACTTCATCACCTTCATCTGCAGCAGAGTAACCAGCAGATGTGGCTGCTTCTCCTGAAACTGCAAGACCCATTGCTTCACCCAACTTTTTCAGAACATCTTTATCGTTCCAATACCTAAATATGAAATGTTTTGGTGGAAAAAAATGAAAACACATCCTACACTCATTCTAATGAGGAATACTATGTTATGCCCATAAGTTAATAAAATTATGATGCTACTAATCACCCACTTCATCATCGCCGCAGGACCACCAGTCTCTATTTCATCTAGAATAGGTTTCAACGATGGATCTTCTTTCATTCGTGCCATCCGTTCCTCAATCTGGTCTTTGTGTTGAGGATTAGTCAAACCTTCAAGCATGCTAGACATAGCCGGATCCTAAAGAAAGAAAAAAAGAAAGTTTCAATGTGATTTCATGTAACATAATACAAGGGAAAAACATTAAAAGAACCGTGAATGCATGAGTAAATGAGCCCACACCTGAATTAATGCATTACCAAGGCGCTCGGCCATGGTCATAAACTGGGGATTCTGCATAACCTGTTGCATAGTTGAATAGTATTGCTGTGGATCAAGCTGTGGCACACTACCTTCAGTTGCTGCCCCTTGAAACGTCTTAGTGAGCTGTTCTGCCATTTGGGTAAATGACGGATCTTTTGCTATCTGCTCGGCTAATTCCTTGATGCTTGGATCCTAACAAACCAAGGTGATTAAGAACCATAAACCATAAAATAAAAAATACCTAAAATAACTTGAACACATGATGAAACCAAAAAATTGAGCCCCATAAAACAAAATTTAACATTCCTTGTATAAGTGCAATTACAGACTACTTTACAAAATTTATCCAAGCTCACAAATTTATCAGTGGACACTGTTCTTTTCATTCCCAGCCTTAATACACTGGGGTGTTGATACAGCCTATCAACGTGATTAACCGTAAAGTTTAACATACTCCACTAGACTACAAAGGCAGCATTAGCAAGGCCATATAGAAAAAAAGTAATGATTATCAAAAGGCGCATGGAAACAAGAAAAACTTACATTAAGAAGGCCACTCATGGCCGAGAAATCGAACGGATTCGGTGGGACAAACCCAGGTCCAGGCATGGTGGCAGGATAAGCTCCAGACTGTGCTGGTTGTGACTCCGCAGCAGAAGCTTCCGGCTTCGAAGTTTTGTTCTCAGTGGTGGATGTTTCTATTGATTTGTCATCTAAAAAAGAGAAAACAAGCATAAAGACCAACTAGCTATTACTAACACTTAAAAGCCATGCAGTAATCCAGAAAAACACTAAACTCCAAGAAAGGTCAATCTCTAGTGGATGAAACCCCTGATTCAGTTACAAGAGGAATAACACAATTTTAAAGGCAGTATTGACAATAACAATTATGAGAGTTAACAATTTAATTATCAACTCGAAAATCAAATCAATTCATAACCCAAAAATAGTACTAAAAGGGAGAAAATTTATCATGCAACATAGATGTCAGAACAAATTCCAAACCCAGTTCAACATTAAAACAAAAAAAGGGGAATATGGGGGTTTAAGCTCACCGGAAGAAGAAGATTCCTTCTGCAAATTGGAAGCCATAGCTGAATTCCAAAGAAGTTAGAAATTAGTATTTTAAAAAATACGAGAAAATATAGCGAGTGAAATGGTAGTACAAGTGTGAGTTCTTGGGAGAAAATCAAAAGAAGAAGGGATTTAAGAGACGGATAATATCGGCTACAAATGCAAAGCAGAGATTGAGTTGTGGATGAGTTGGTGGGCCATCTCAATCCTAAACCCCTCGTCTCATCTCATCTCATCTTCTGGTTGCTTCAGTCGGCACGGGACTACTGCTGAGGGATAAATGGGTACAGTGCACAAATAACTATATTAAATTAGATTAAAATAATTTTTTAATTACTAAATTTTTAAAATTTATTAATATACACTTTATCTTTTATCAATTATTAGAAATATGTTTAAAATATTTAAATACTAACCTAATTAATATAAAATTTGTATTATCTCATACTAATTAATTTTTTTTCTTCCAAATATTTGAATATAATTATTTTGAATATACATTAATTTAATGATTGAAAATAAAGTTTACACATGTATCACTGTCAACGTTCAACTTATATTTGTTTTAACACATAAGGACAGCCGCGTACTTTTATGTTAGGAGAACCGCCGCTTACAGACTTCATCACTGAACCTAAATCCGTAGTCAATCGGCAACACCGCCTGATCAAAGGTGTTTCCTTTTAAACTTCTTCATCTTTCACTTTCCTGTATCTTTTTTTTCCCTCGTTCTTTTCTGTTGATGCAATATCGTTGAAATCTTCCTTTAAATTATAAATAGTTTTACAAAGGCAATGTAGAAGGATCGGGATGTTTGAGAAATCTGGCTGACAATTTTTTTAGTTATCCCAGTACTGGTTTGAATCTTTTGTTTGGATTAAGTTGTTAGAACATTTTTTCTATCTAAAATTTCATTTTAAATATTAACTGGTAACCATGAATTTCTTTACTTTTCTTTTCGATACATGAGAGAGGCGGAGAGAGGAGAATAAATGTGGTTTGTAATTTCAGTATGTGTTCTTACATGGAATTTTTAGGATATATATGTGCATATGAGAAGCATTTATTTGTACATTTGTATGTATGTGTTTGCTTTCAGGTCCTTACATGATCCCATTGCCTGATTGAATACTCTATTGCAGAACATTGTTTTGTGCTTACTCGGTGAAATTTGAAGTTGGTATCGGGCATAATTTTGAGAAAAACATACATCAAATACTCTAGTAATGGCTGCCTCTTTGACTCGCATTTCATGCTCGTCCGCTTTCACTTTCTCAGCATCAAAAGCCTCAGTTTTCTCACCTTCTCTATCCCCTCCATCCATCAAAGTCCCCACCTTCTCCCCTTTGACTGTCAAAACCCTCGGTTCCAGCTTCGCCCCACATGTGACATGTGCCATCAGTCTCACCACACATGCCACCTTGACTCCCTCATCTGTTCCTTCCGACACTTCAACAACGACCTTCCATGGCCTTTGTTATGTTGTTGGGGATAATATCGACACAGATCAAATAATTCCTGCTGAATACCTTACATTAGTTCCCTCAAACCCAGCTGAGTATGAAAAACTGGGCTCTTACGCTCTTGTCGGTCTCCCCTCATCATATACAACACGATTTATTGAACCGAACGAGACTAAGACAAAATACTCCATTGTGATCGGTGGTGCTAACTTTGGTTGTGGGTCATCACGGGAGCATGCACCAGTTGCACTTGGGGCCGCAGGGGCAAAGGCAGTTGTGGCTGAATCTTATGCTAGAATATTTTTCAGGAATTCTGTTGCAACTGGGGAAGTTTATCCATTAGAATCGGAAGTGAGAATATGTGAGGAATGTAAGACTGGGGATGTGGTGACGATCCAGTTGAGGGAGAGTCGTTTGATCAATCATTCCACCTGCAAAGAGTATAAATTGAATCCCATTGGGGATGCAGGGCCAGTCATTGAAGCTGGAGGGATCTTTGCATATGCAAGGAAAACGGGAATGATTCCATCAGAGTCAAATTAAAATGCAGGTATGTTTTTGAACTCTTACCTATGCATTTTGTTTGTTTCGTATGTAAGCTGTGTTAGAAACCAGAAGGTTATGCATTCTATCTTCTTATTGATGATTAATGGTCTAGTAAACCTGCTTTCTTGGAGTATTTGGTTTAAATCGTAGTCCATTTTATCTCAAGTCAGTAGTTCATGCAAGTCTATACTGATGGTTAAAGAGATTGTGCTGCAAGTCCGCAAAATGGTACTATCAAATCAACCCCATGATCTTATATTCTTGCTACTACACCATGTCTAAACCGTTTTACGTGCAAAAGCCTGGAATGTGATCAAGTCATCGAGTGCTTTATGTATCCTACTGTTTCTGTTGACGAAATTAGGAGCCAGCCATATGCTGATAAAAAGCAGAATGCTCAAACTTGCAACCTATATTATTCCGATCGGCTCCTAAGGACACCAGCTGTTTTGCCTACTCTAAACCTCTTGCATCGTCTAAACGAACATCAAAGATGATTTGTGTTGACATCAAAGATGATTTTACTTCTTCCGATATATGAATTTATTTCCATATGCTTCTGCTTATCATTGCCATTTTTTGTAAATAAGTTTGTTGACACTTTTAATTTGTAGGGGAGGAGCACTTGCTTCCGACTTCTTCGACTCGTGTCAACTTCGAGGCTCCGTTATTAGGCACTTGGGATCAATGCTCATCTTTTCTTTCGTTGTCTTCTATCGCCGGTCGAAAAATTTTTGCAGTCTAAATGTCTGGATATGAATTTATATTCTCTTTAGTTGTCTTGTACACCCGTAATCTTGTATTGTCTCTTTTTTATATTTATCCATCTTTTTAAACATTATATTGCCCTATATAGTTTAGGATGATAATTATGACTTGAATCTTACGGTTTCGACCCGATATTATAAGGTGGGGTTTTTTAAAGATAAATGGATTCTTGGGTTTTTGTAAAATAGTGAGGCCCAACTGTCGAAGCTTGAGTTTGAAGATCCCAACAGTTGAGAGGCTGCTCTTGAAACAGGGAACACCATTATTGACTAAAAGCATAGGTTACTCCCGTATATAAGATTAACAGCCCAAAAAACTTTTCATTATCCTCGAATGTTCAAGAACGGGGAAAGCAACAGTGTCCGAAAGATGAACGTGGCAATGAAGGGATATTTTTGCAATCCAAATCGTAGTATATTTGAAGCCCATCATACTCATCTTCTTCTTCTTCTTCTTTGGAACTTTCCTGTAATAGCTAGGCACCCATTTCCCATTTATTTATTTTCTTCAAATCAGATTCTAAATAACAACAGAAAGAAGACACCGATTCTCCGAATCTGAGCTGCTGCGGCAGCTGAAGAAAGCAATTCTACTGTTAATGTTTCAAGTGCAAGCGATGTTAAAGGTTCGGGGACAACAGCCAGAGGGAGGACACTTCTCAAGATACGTGAAGGGAAGATGAAGCAATTCGACAGGCTTCACAATTATCCTTAAAGGGCCAAGTACTTTTCCTTCTTGCTCTCTTCTTTTTATAAAATTACTACGCACTCAACCTGTTTGATTTATAGCTACGGTGGAAATATTTTTGTTTTTTTTGGGCACTAAAAACAGGGTCCTGGAAGACGCCTGCAAAGACGATGAGGAACTACTACCGGTTCTTGGCGATAGCATTGGCGACCCTGAGGAAACGAGTCTGTTAACGCCCTGTACTCTTTTCCTTCTTTATTCCCTCGGCTTAATCAACTTTATAGCTCATAATCTGATATTCCAACGAGTTTTTTCTTTATGTTTTGCAGATTGAAGCGCGTGTTCGGAAAAAGGGTAGATATTTTAACAAGAAAAAACGGCCTCTGTGCTTTCTTTTGAAGTTAGTTTCCGAGAGTACGGCTTCTATTCCCTTAATCAACAACTATGTACTGTTAGTTGTCCCTCGTCTAAAAAAATGTACTGTTAGATGTCCATGGTAGTAATTGGCTTCCATGTTTAGAATCCAGTGTAACACTGTTATCTTTTTCCAAACAAAATATACTTAGAAATGATTGAGTTTAGCACGGTTGACCTTGTCCTTATTATAATACAAAGGAATACATGTATAAAGCATTCTTAAACGCACAATATCCTCCGATTTATGTGTGGGGAGGGGTCTGGCTTAGAAATGAATTTGTTAGCATTCAATGATAAACAGATGGCAACTTTTAACTGATTTATTAACCCCTTAGTTTGATAGTTGTATGAAGTAGCTGATGTTTTTCGAACTGTCTAGTTTTAATCCAATTGATTCCTATATATGGTTCGAGTTATATGGATAACCTTCCGATCGAGAAGTCAATCTCATTGGCAGTGTAAGTAGTCTCATTCTCCTTTTGATTCCTTCTTTCGGCAATCTGGTGCTAAATTTAGACAATCATAGGAGAACCTTCTTCGTTTTTGCTCTTATTTCGTCTAAATTGAAGGTATCAATTGGATCACCAACACCCTTGTTCGGATAATTAAAGAAAGCATTGTGGCAACTGACAATGAGTGGAGATTATATAGGTTGAGCCAGCGATCCAATTGATAGAGAGGAATGTTAGAGTTAAGAAAGTAAAAGATGGAATGCCATTTCTGCCCAACGATCATGTTGACCAACTCAATAATTTAAAGCCAATCATCGCAGAACTCCACGCCCCTTCAGATCTTTTTTCTTTGAAGCTTCATAATCCCACTAGTTCAGTGGTGAGGAGCTCTTCGCCGAGGCTTAGGATCCACCTGTTTCTTTCACCCGATACCTCAAGAACACACACAATAACAGAGTAATGCCATTGAAACAGTATGTTAATTTGGGTTAATTTTTACCAATGCAGTAATGCAAGAAGATTCAAACAGCACAGCATGATAAGTAACAGTACAGAGTTTAGATTCGTTTACAGCAAAAGGGGCCGAGGATAGGAAGAGAGTAACTTAATGACACAGAGGTAAGCTTCAACTTTATTTCCTACCTTTGACAATGTCACTAGAACCAGTAGCATATATACATCAACATTGACCTACTCAGATTTCCATTGTTTGAGTCTCCACTTCAAGCAACCATCATTGTAAAAGAATCACATTTAATTACATTTGTTGAAATATAATATAAGATCAAGATAATCTTCTCTGGCTTTTTCCTAAATAGGGCTGCAGTCTGTGAAGTTTGTTACTGCTTTAGCCGAGTCAAATAAAACAATAACAGGAGATTTAGCTCCCCACAACATCAAATAACTACGTCAAATAAGACGTGGCTAGAAATTATCGAAGGAAATGTTACCCTAATATTAATCTGTACCATGTGAACTTTATTTAATGGGACGAGTACCACTAAGTTTTCTTCAAGAACTCTATTCGATAGCACCAACTTTCACACAAATAATTGTGTCACTTCTAGATCAATTCTAAACGAAACACTCACCACCAAACCGAGTTCATACAGTTCACTTATTGTCTAGTGTTTAAGAGCTATAAACAGACCAAATCAAAACGTATCAGTTGTGAGAGAGTACACACAACAACTAAAAACATACACAAACCGAGAAACGTCGGCTCACCTGCTGAGCCCTTCAAAAGGGCTATACAGATATTCAAGTGTGGTATCCTGACAGGTTCCTGATGGCATTTGAAGTGTAATTTATAAAAGAGACCCCATTTTGCCTAGGTTCCCAGTAAGTAAAAGCATCAAATGGTTCATATTAGCGTACACACAAAAAAAAAAGTAAGTAAAGAAATGCCCATTCCCAGGTAGAACTGAAAGATGAAGGTAAAAGTTACATAAAACAGTGAGCAATTATTGGGTTTTTATGGTTATAGGATAGAAAGTATGCGCCTGATATACAGATACGAACCAGGATACTAATCAAGGAATTCCAATTCATCCTCCTTAAGATGAGACAAGAACTTAACAGGTCCTCGTCCTTCAATCTCAGTGACGAACTCCACCTTGTAAGGAAGATTAGCTGAAATCTTTTTCCCTTTCCAGACCCCCACGAATTGTTTAATCACTCCTTCCATGCCGTTCAGATCCAACTCCGGGACTCGATTCACATGATAAACTTTGAGGGGCGCTTTTACCCTTACCTTGGCCCCAACTTTAGCCTCCTCCTCCGGATCCTCCTCCGATCCCGAAACCGACGCGTCATTTTCGTCCTCGTCGACGGAAGCGGCGGAGACAGCTTGACAGGAAACAACCCTTCTCGTCGTTTTTATAGAAACGTTGACGGCGGTTGCAGTGGATTGAAACAACGCCGGTTTCAACGTAATCATCGAGGTTTTGGCTTCGGGAGATGATTTCCCATTGGAGCATATGATCAAACATGAACCGGGCGTTGCTGAAGAGAGGGACAAACCGGATGTACTCGTACTCATCTTTTTTCTACCTTTCCGATCTACAGATTATTTCCTTTCCCTGAAAAAAAAAACCCAAACTTCAACGATCGAATCCTCAAAAATTATGGGCTTCAATCCGATTCAGAAACTATAATTCTTTCTAGTGGCTCAACTCGATTACAGCAACGAAGCTTACCGTTAGATGGAGGAAAGGGAGGGAGCAGCTGCGTGGAGTCTTTTATTACCAGTCTTTTGGATTTTGCCTAATCTTATATGTGGGAGCGTACGGTAATATAGTTTTAATTTAAGATATTTAAATAAAATATCTCCATTCATTAATAATAAAAAAATGAATGTCCCTTGTTCACATATATAATGGGGTCAGGGGAGGTAAGATAATAGGTTGCCCCCAACACTAGGTTGAGAGTAGCTTTCGTAGGAGACCTCCGAATTATGAAATGCCCTCCATGAGACTTGATTCAACGACCTCAAAGTTAAGAACCTTGTGCTCTACCAACTGAGCAAGATGATCATTTTTATTCATTAATAATAATTAATCTTATATAAAATTTAAGATATTTGAGATAAGTTTCAAAGTAATGTATATTTTAAAATATTTTGAATAAATAAGTAGATAATTGAAAAATCAATACCGCTTATAAGAAATAATTCACAACAATGGTTGAGATTGGAAAATGATGCTTGGACACGGAATTAATCTGGGTGGCCAAAGGGATTAGGGATGAGGAATGAGAGGTGGAGAATGCAATCGGGTCTTATCTTTATGGCTAGCTTAATCCAATTTATCCCGAGTTAGTTTACCTATGGTACTCGAATTTAGATTATTTTTAGATATAAATTTTATTCTTTATTATTGAATTTAGTTGGATAAGTTTGCTTATATTAGGATCTATATATCATATTTAGAGTTTAAGGTTTAGAGATTTAGAATTTGAAATTTAAAATTTCGGATTTTAGATTAAATTGATTATATGATCGAGTTTTTAATCAATATTTAATTAAACCGATACCGATATAAGGGAGAGATCCTTTATCATAGCCTAATAACAAGATAAATAAAGATCAAAATTGAACCTAAATCACTCATAAATCCCATAAGAACTATATTGTGTGAAACAAACATTTAAGGACATGCTTAATCGTAATATGATTTCATGCAACATACCAAAATATAGTAAATATAGAATAAAATGTGTCTGATACAAAAGTTTATCAGATTTTTATAGCTTTATATCCATGTACCCGACACTGAAAATAAACACCAGAAGTTGAGACAAATCAGGGTTTAAGCTGAATACTGTACTAAAAGACCACCAGTCTTTTGTTTTTTAATAACAAGAAAAAGGGTTCTAAAATGCAATATTAAAAAAGCCAGCTTTTTGGTGTACCTACATGCTTCTCCACATCATCACTTCACCAGGCAGATCTTAATAACCGAAGCAGCACCGATACGGTGAAGCACAACAACGGCATCACCTGGCCTGCACAACCCCTTCTCCGTGGCTGACCTCAATGCAGCTTCCAAGATAACCTCGGTAGATTCCGCATCTGTTGCCTTTGCCGAGCCTTCTGCAAGTATGGGAACCAAGCCCCTGTATATGAGACTGTGTCTTGCTGGGCCTTCGTCGCTGCAGGTCCAATCAAATGAATCGGTTGTTAAAACTGGGACGACCACCGATAGGATAGGAACAGCCGGTCTGTACTTGGCAACCAACTTGGCTGTCTTTCCACCACGGGTTAAAACAGCGATGAGTTTAGCTTTGGCCTTGTTAGCTGTTCGTACAGCTGAGGATGCAAGACTTTCCAATGGACTCATTGGAAGTGGAGTTGATCGGATCATTTCTTTAAAGATTGCTCCATAGTCGAGTGAGGATTCTGCCTCGATACAAATTCGAGCCATGATCTTCACAGCAAGCTCTGGATAGGCTCCAGCAGCACTCTCACCGCTGAGCATGACACAATCGGTACCATCCAGGACGGCATTAGCAACATCAGTTGCTTCAGCACGGGTGGGCCTCGGAGACTTTATCATGGACTCGAGCATTTGAGTGGCAGTAACAACTGGCTTGCCTGCAAGATTACACTTGTATATCATCATCTTTTGTGCTAAGAAGATCTTCTCAACCGGAATTTCCATTCCAAGATCACCACGGGCAACCATAAAGGCATCGGTCTCACGCAGGATCTCGTCGAAATTGATGACACCCTCTTGGTTCTCAACCTAAACGAATCACAACCACAAGAAAACCTCAAATCATTAACAATCAACTTGCATAAAGAATCTCTAGTTCCCAATCACAATTGAAAGGAGAAACAGATTAACACACCTTCGACATCAATTGAATCTTCTTAGCATGGGGACCGAGGACCTTACGGACATTAACAAGATCGGATCCTTTACGTACAAACGAAAGAGCAATCATATCAATACCATTCGGAACTCCCCATCCCAAGATGTCTTCTTTATCCTTCTCAGTGAGTGTGGGAAGATCCACCACAACACCAGGAAGGTTGACATTTTTTCTCTCACCGATCATCGCAGTGTTATCACATCGGCATCTCACAGTCCCTGCCTCAGGATCACAGGATAACACCGAAAGTGTGATTGTTCCATCTGCACACAAAATGGTATTCCCAGGCTTCAGATCAACAGCCAACTTTTTGTAGCTCATGGAGATCATAGTCTCATCTCCCTTGATATCGTAATCAGTAGTTACAGTAATTTCCTGGCCTTCCTTCAATTGAACAGCTTTCCCATCCTTCAGAAATCCGGTTCGAATCTCGGGTCCCTGCAACACCAAAGCACAATCAATCAGATATGATCCTTCAACGACCTTCCAAGTACATAAGAAAAACATAGGAAAATTGCACATGTTATTGTCAAATGCACACCGGATCCAACACCCAAGTATAGAAAATTTCCTAATTGACAAACAATGCAAAGTTTATTACAAATGTGCATCTTGAGTTATTCTACAAATGCTATGTCGCTCCGATTCTTCATTTTTCAAATAAAATCGAATAGAATCCTCCAAACACCTTATATATACTAATATCCAACACTCGCACCTGAGTCCGAATATATAGAAAACAAGGAATAAAACTAGTGTATAGAAAACTTCCTATCGAGTATTGAGAAACAATGCAAAGTTTATTACAAGTGTGCATGTTGAGTTATTATACTAATGCTATGTCGCTCGAATGCTTCATTTTTTGAATAATATCGAATAAAATCCTCCAAAAGCCTTATATACTAATATCTGACACTCGCAACCGAGTCCGAATATATAGAAAACAAGGAATAAAATTAGTAGGAAAATGGACCTTGGTGTCGAGCATGACGGCGCAGAGGATGCCGGTATTTTGCATAGCGGACCTGAGATTGTTCAAGGTCTCTTGATGATACTCATGACTGCCGTGAGAGAAATTGAAGCGAGCAACATTCATCCCGGCCCTCAACAGCTTCTCTATCATGGGCACGGACCGCGAAGCCGGACCCAGAGTACAAACGATCTTGGTTTTAGGGATACGGCCATCGTTGGGAAGGTCCTTCAAGATCCCATCGATGCATATATTTGCCATTCTGCACCCATTAAAGAAAAATAAATCAAAATCACGAGATCTAAGTGAGAAGCAAGGAGATTAACAGAAACCCAAGATAAAGATCATTAAAAAGATATATATAAATCATCAAGCAGAGATCCTTTAACACATACACAAAATATAATCGAACATAAATAAAAGGGGGAAATCGCCATACCGAAGAATACAAGGAACGCTTGAGAGTGAGTGAGAGAGAAGTGATGGAATCTGAGCTGTGGAGGAGAGAAGAGTGACTCGTTGGTTGTAATGGCGGCTTTTTGTAAGAGAACAAGACAGGACCGAATTGGAGGGTAGGAATTTCTTGCACGTGGTCTTAGCCTTGAAGGTGGCGGCTCGTTCAAGATTTTGTATTCTTTTTTTTAACCCTTTACTAATTTTATAATTTTTTTGTGTTTAATTTACTTGTTAATTTATTTAAATATTATAAAAATTTAGGCTAAACTATATATTTAGTAATTTAACTATTTGTGAGATTCTATTTTGGTCATCTAACTATTTTTTTTTAAAATAATGTCTAACTTTATGTTTTAATTTTGTTTTGGTAACCCGTAATTAAAAATAAGCAAAAATACTGACTTGATAATTTTTTTCAATGATGATGTGGCATTAGTTTATGATGATATGTCAGTATCACCTTTAAACTTTTTACGGTGGATGACCAAAACGAAACCAAAACATAACATTATGTACGATCTTAAAAAAATAATTAGGTGAATAAAATGAAACCACATAAATAAGTGGGTGACTAAATACACAATTTACTCTTAGTTTAAATTTAAATATGGTGATTAAAATAATATCTAGCATAAATTATTTAAATAAAAACTCCTTAATTTTGTATAGTAAAAATAAAAATCATAATTAAATCTAATCTAATTCTATTTGGAATAAAATAAAAAATGAGAATAGAAAAGCACGTGACGTGAGGTAGGTGGCGGTGAGTTGCGTTGGGGTTCGCGATATGTACCTGCCGTTTCCAACCTCAATACTAACGGTCATTTCCATGCTGCCCTTCTTGCATCATTTAGTCCCACAGATTCGACCCAGATTGTTATTTTTATTAATAAAATTAATCATTAAATTTAATTTAATTATAAAATATTTATTTAATTTTAATTATATGTCACTGCTCCGTCTCATTAAATTTATCTCATTTTATTTTTATTAGAAAAGTTAAACATTTATTTTTACTTTTTACTTTTATTTGTCTATTTTTTCACATATCAAAATAAATATGTGAAATCTATTAATCATTTTTTACGAATAATTTTATCATTTCTCTCATTTTATATAACTTAACATGTAATCAAATTTATCTCTAAAAACTATATGTTTGAGCAACAAATAACAAAAATTATGGAACGAAGCATCTTATATATTTTTAAAAAAATAGTTAAATATATTATTTAAAATTATTTGAATTCCAACAAAATTTTGATTATCGATCTATAAATATATTTACTGTATACTCTTTTCATTTTGGAATATATATATATATATATATATATATATAATGATGAACATTTGGGAGCAATGAAAATGCAAGAATGGCAAATATATTCCGAGGAATATATTTAGAATATACCGAATATCTATATTCAATAGCTAAACTCTGATTTATACCTTTCTTATTCTCATTCTTTTTATGTTATAATTATTGAAGACGTAATTTTATTAAAAATGTGTTTTTTTAATGGAAGAGGGTGATTTGTTAAGGATTTCATGAGAAACTGTGGAATAATTATTGAAGACGTTAATGGTATCCATTTTGATGTTCTTGTTTGGTAGGTGAGAAGGTCAAGGAAAATCTGGGATTTTTCTAGGAATTTCATCAAGCAACCATTGGTCAAACAAAAGCAAGATGGAGATGACTCTCTACTTATGTTACAACTTACAATCACCGTCGTCTTCTTCCTCTTTTACGACTGCCCCGCCGGTTGAATAAAAGCTTGTTGGGGGTATAGGGTAGATGAATAAGAAAACGACAAATTCGATAAGTCGGGTGACCAAAATAGAAAATCTTTAGATGACTATTTATGCAGTTTACCCAAAAGAAAATTATTGAATAACTTCTACAAAGTTTAGCACCTGCGACAATTCAAATTGATCCTAAAAATACAATGTTAAATGCAAAAATCCTCAGACCACACGAATGTGTGTGTGTGTGTGTAGGACCACATTGGGAGTCCAGAACTGAAGACCTAAAGGTCAATTGGATGAAGCTGTAGTATTGTTGGTCCTTTCTTTCACCATGGTCTTAACAAAGAGCTCCCCTGCCCTATACGATGATCGAACCTGCAACATGAAAGTTCATGTCCGAACGTGTTAATATAATTTGCCATATCGGAAATCTTAAGGGATGAACTTGAGCAGATGTTAGTGTAGCATAAAAGGTCCAAATGAGGAAAAGAGAAACAGTGTCTCGACTCGAAATTTGATTGATTCAGCAGCCAGTTTTTGGAGAAACTTGAATTGATTTTAACTAGAACAGTGAGTTTCTCTCTGGCTACCTCAATCTGGAGGTAAAATTTCAGTTTTTTATGTTCATTCAATGGTGCGACTGATATCCACAAAATACTAGTACAATCATCCAAAGCAATGAAATGCAAACAGCTTACCAGGGGTCCACTAGCTACATAACGAAAGCCGATTGATTCCCCGTATTCCTTCCAGAAAGCAAACTTTTCAGGCGTAACATATTCTTTGACGGTCAAGTGGAGCGGTGTAGGCTGCAAAAAATATGAGTGCATTCAAGAAAAATATTTTCTTTGTTACGAGTCAATGATTTTTCTTTGTTGTTGGGGTATTTTATTTTGGGTTATTAGGTTGTTTGTAAGGGTTTTATCTTGTTATTGTAAATCTTATGTATCTTTCAATATGAGTTCCTTAAATCATGAAGGGGGTTTTTAATGAGGCCTTCAATTCCTATAAAAAAAACATGACAATGATGATAATGAAATCATAAAAAGACGAACTGAGCCATGAGAGGAACCATCAATTAACTCAAGAAGAACAATAAGTAGGAGATGAATCGTTAACAGTCTTTCGTACAACATGAAAATCACTACCAGCATATCACGAGTAAATATAGCTAGGTTATACGAAATAAAGGTTTAACATGTGCAGGATTCAAGCTAACTAGGTCTATCTATCCTCCAGCCAAAATCCTGATTGGGCATTCACTTATGCAAAAGATCTTTGCATATAAAATTTACCTGTAGATATTGTCCAAGTGTAAGAATATCAACATCTATAGCCCTTAAATCAGCCAGGGCTTCCTTTAACTCATCATCGGTTTCACCAAGACCGAGCATTATAGAAGATTTCGTTATCATTCCTTCTTTGCTGAGCTTTGCATGTCTTAGAACTGACAAGCTCTGTTCATACCTGCAACATTAAACAAAGTAAAACCCTTAACCAGCTAGTACAAGCACACCGATTTTGGTTCTCAGAGTGGAATACGGTTGGTGAAAATGCTAAAATACCATGGTCTCTACATGCTTTACAAGCCATCATATTTCGTTGATACACGATTGCAAAACATGTAATTCAAGTAATAGTGACAATTCCATAAAACACTAAGTCAATGCCATCTACTCAGTTGAACTGGAATAACTGAATAAATGCGCTTACCCAGCCCGAGGATCCCTGACAATTCTTTGGAGCCGTTTCACAGTTTCAATGTTATGAGCAAAAACATCTAATCCAGAGTGTACCAGAGAGTCTACAGCTTGCAAATCACCTCGGAAATCAGAAGTTAAACACTCAACCATGATGTCCGGCTTGAGTTTCTGCACATTATCATATAGAAACCCTATAAAAATCCATCTACATTCCAATCTCTTCCTCAAGAATATGAAAAAATTGGAACAAAGGCAGCTGCATGCAATAGCGAGTTCAATATACAACCTTCATAGCTTGGACAGTCCGAGCAAAATGCCCACTTCCACCATCAGGTAAATCATCACGATCTACGCTAGTCAGAACAATATAATCCACACTACAAATACAAACAGCATCAGAATCATAATTATGCTACAACTATTTAGACAATAAAATCGATTACCGAAGTCTAAGCAGCAAGGAAAACCCGGATATGCAACGGGGCAGTGGTCTTTTCAGCAATCAAAGCCCATTGATAAACAATGAGGCACAACCATTTTTAAACAATAGAAGCTAAACAAGGCAAATCTTACCCCCAACTGGCAATCGCCTGAGCTGTATTTTCAGGCTCCATGGGGTCAGGCGGCGGCGGGTTCCTACTGGTTTTAACCGCACAAAATCGACAACCTCGTGTGCAAGTGTCCCCAAGCAACATTATCGTTGCAGTAGCAATGCCATCTCCACCTCCATTCCAACACTGTCCAGCAAAATCGATTACTTAACAGTCAAAAACCCTTCTTAATTAATAGTAAAAAAATGTTTCTAAAAATTAAGATTACCTCTCCAATGTTGGGGCACTGAGCTTCCTCACAAACAGTATTGAGTTTCAAGCGAGAGAGAGATTGTTTAACCTCATCAAACCTCTGCCCTTGAGGAGCTTTCTGCCTCAGCCACTCCGGTTTCTTCACGTTAGGGTCTCTGCCCGTAAAGGACCCCATCCCACCCGGGTATGATCCGTTTTTGTTATCCGACTCCATCAACTTCCCAGCCGCCGATAACGATTTGGGTTGCGGCGGCCTTTTGGCATCGATCTGCGATGCTGAATCTAAAGAGTCGCATCGGATTTTCAGTTGTGAAACCGAAAACGATGGTTTACGGGGACCTGGAATGGGAATTGGTGCTGAGAAAGAAGGTTTTGACATTGATACAGACATTTTCTTTTTCAGTTTCTGAACAACAATCTGAACTGAAAAATGTTGAAACTAAGCCCATTTTAATAGCGTGAAGGATTCAATGCCAGCCAGTGGCTTTGCTTTGCTTTGTTTTGTCCGCCCAACACCAAAACATAACCAAACTCTCTGTCCATTTAAGGGTAAATTACATTAAATTTGTCAATAATGTTTGATTAAAATTTTATTTTCTCCACTAACGTTTAAAGACTAATGATTCGATCACTGATATTATTGATTTAAAAAGAAATCAATCACTCGTCGTTGACGATCATTAAATCATTTTGACCATTTGCCTTTCCTCTCTCGTAATTTAACTGTTAAAGACATTATTTCTCGTCGTCATCCATCCTAGCTCCTCCAAACAAACTGCCGTTAGGTCATCGTTCACCCAGCTGGGAACTGGGGTCCTTGAGTTTATAATAGTCGTCCTGGTGGAAAAGTCAAGGGACAGGGTACTTCCGTCGTTCATCCCATTTTCGTCATCTTCTAGTGGCAGGAACTATTGTCCGTAATTGTAAGAACGTATTATACCCTTTGAACATACCCTTCGAAGATGTAAAAAAACTCTATTTAATTATTTATAAATGAATGCGTCTGTAGCAATTTCAAGATGTAAAAGCTATCAGAATTCTTACACCAGTTTGAAGTTCATTTGAACATTATACAAAATTTATTGAGGTAATCCTCAATTTTCTCTGCACCTAAACCAATGATGAATTGCAATGCCATCAATGGCATTAAGCAGCATTAGATGAATTCTCACTAGCATCTTTTGAATCGGAACCGTCAACCATCTTCTCAAGAGACTCCATATCCCCGGCTTCGGAAAATGTGTGTAGCCGGAGTTTTTCCACGTCCTCACTGGAAAAAGAGGACGAGAACAGTTAAATATTTCGTACAAAGCATACCGTATGTGTTGAAACGCATCATCTGCTAGTATTTATTTCCAGTTTCTTTCCATCATTTTTGTGAGAATTAAAAATGTAGACTGAGAAAAGAGTCTTACTCTGTAACCCCGAATATTTCTTTGACAATTAAGGAACTATCCCTCGAGCAGAACTCCGGCAACTGCACAAAATTTTCGACAAAACATAATCAATTTAATGTTGTGCATATGGAAAAAAGAAATCGCAGATTAACCCTTATGATAAGTACAAAAACAGATGTAATTAAATGATCACTCGGCATGTAACAGAATCCGAATAGTTAATGACAACGAAACATGCTTGTTTGATACAAGATGATCCTTTATTCATTCTCCTTATTGCGTTCATGATTCATGGTTTGGGCTAAACCCATTCATATTTTATCCAAGTCATTCTAGAGACCTAAGTTACTTACAGGAGTGTCGGATAAGCGTATGTATCCTCCATGAGTATCTTCGAATTTTTTAAAAAGTTTTTTCATTTACTTAGAGGGATCAACAAATGTGTTGACTGTCGAACATGAATGCCGGATAAGGGTACTTCAAGAGAAAAAATGAAAAGTCAAAGCAACACAGCCAGAGACACTTAGAGAAACCATTTGAAAGCTCCTAATACTTTGCAAGTAATTCAACCAAGTACTATATCATCTATAAGCCCGCAAAGTTACAAAATAGTTCATAAAAATATTTTTCAAAACGGCTCCGTTGGATGTTGCCAATTGCAAATTAAATAAAATATACATCAAAGAAGCAAAACAATCGATGCATATGATATATTAATTGAGTAAGAAATACACATACAATCCACAGAAAATGTGGCACTTGGAAAGAGGATATAAAGCTATCTGTTCAACGAACCTCGGACAGATATAAAACCTTCCCAAATAGGCTTTGCACAGCAAGTTTCCTCTTAAATCCTTTCTCTGTAAACCCTGACATGTCCATTACAACCGGGCCTGAACAGTAAAGAAAATTTATCAGTGTCAGATACAAAACACTCCCAGGAAGGTAGATCGTATAGAAGTTCACAGAGAGTGCATATGGAAGATTAAAAAAGATATGAGAGCAACTTCGAATCCTAAACGACACTTAAAATTAGATCAGTAACACATTTATGATAAGAACTATTCATATCACCATTGTCAACTTCAAGAGATGATATATCAGTTGACTTCAAGGCATTGAGAAATGCCATATAAGCATTTTCAGAAATAATTTTTCAAAAAAGAAATTACTACCACAACTGCCTATATGTTGTCCATAATTCACTAGAGAATTAATGTCACATGATAAGTAAAGAGAGCTGCAGTTGCTAAAAGTGACCTTTTTCGCGAACAATTCGTTTTGATATTTCATTTAAAATTTCAGCAACTTGAGAATCGTCAAGCATTGAAGATTTCCTCAGCTGGATTAAGCTAGCAACCAAATCTGCACTCCATGGTTTCTCATTCAATGAATACCTAATGTACTTGCGCAGAATCTCCTCCACGCTAAAGCCTGTCTGGATATGGATTACAGGTTAATATAAAACCCAAACGGCATGCATGTTACGCGTGAAAATAGAAAAATGTCTGCATGGCAATATGACATGAATGTGTGTAAGCTTCTCCATCAACATATCAATTACTCCCTAGAAGCTGTTAAACACACACATATATAAGTAAAATGAAATCAAACTCAATAGCAAAGTCCTAATGCAATGATTCTTTGCCAATAAAATGTTCTCTATAATGAAATTTCTTATGAAAAAGGCCATAATGAAGTGGCCTAAATTTCTAGCACAGTATATGCTATATAGGTTGAGGAGGTAAATTCATAATGGGTCTCACCTTTTGCGCTAATCCCTTTAATGTTGATTGATCTACGGCATCACTTCCTTGCTGAAACAACTCGTCGATTGATTTGCAAAGTATTGCATTTTTATTAACCTGAAAAGTGAAAACCCATCCCCTATCAGTGCAAAACAACTGAAGAAGTATGCAATTTCAGTTTCAATTCCAAAATCCAAATCAAAAGACAGATAAACAACTTCAAAAGAAATCAAGTGGTCCAAGTCCAGCTAACCAATTTCTTTCTTTTGTGCCTGGGAGAAGTGAATTTCTTAACAGTCTTGACAAAAGCAATAACAAAAGTGACACCGGCATAGGCTAGAGGAACAGCAAGGATCCAAGGCAAAGAGCTGGTGCCAACTCTGGGTCCAGGAATGGCTTGAGTAACGGAACCGGTGAACTCAACGAGGTCCAATGCCTTCTCTTGAATCCAGGGCAGTTCCTCCTCGACCTCCACTTCCTCTTCTTCAGCTACTTCCTTCTTGTTTTCTCTTGGGTTTTTAGAGGGCACCGCATTTTGTCCGCCGCCCTTGGCCGCCGCGGTGGTGAGAGATAGGGATAAGTTGGGTGTTCTTCTTGAGGTCAGACGAGGGATTGACAAGATAGGAGGAGGAAAGGGACGGGTACTAACTTTGGATCGGGAGAGGAATTGAGAGGAAGGGAAAGAACAAGTGAAGCTAAGAGAGGAAGATGATGAAGAAGCGATAATGGCCATTGAGCAAATGGATGTTTTCGTTTCAGAGTTTCGGGCTTTTGAGCTTATAATCCTTGCTTTTCAAATGGCCAAACCCCTACCCTACCCACAATTTGTTCTCTTCTCTGTTGCAAAATCGATACTATTCTAATGGTTGGACTTCAAGGGTGTTCATTTTCGATCATTTAGTTTAAATAGTCGGTTAATTATTATAATAATTATTAATTCTTTTAACTATAATTTAATTATTAAAAAAAGAGTAAATTTATTTCAAACACAACATAACATAAAAATTTTAAAATTTCATAAAATTTACAATGATAAATATATATTTATTTACAGATATATTTTATTCTTATATAAATATACTAGGATGTATATTTTTTGAAGTTTAAAATTTTATGTACATATTTATATTTTGTACTTTAAAATTATTTTCTATTTCATCTATGTTTGATTTAATGTGCTCCAATATAAGATAAACATGATAACTATAAAATAAGGAACCATTTTGATTTTATTTTTAATTCTATTCTCTTTAAAAAAATACAATTGATTATAATTTATTAATGTTTGACCGATGATTAACCATTTATTAAAATTTGTAACCGTAACCGTTAATCGATACTTTTAGCGAAACTGTTAACCAAAATCGTTTAATCTTAACGTTCGATTAATTAACCTATAAAATAATAATAGTTACACTAGTTAACTGTTACGATTTAACTTGAACACCTCTAGTTCGACCTATAAACTCTTTATGGTCATTAATTATTAGGTCAAATGATAATTTTCAATCATTATAAAATAATATATGTTCAAAATAAAATTATTTATTGACAATATCCATACACGTTACAAAATTGAATCTAAAACATTTAAAAATAATAATTTTTTTATCACTGAGATTTTTTAATACATTTTAAATAACTTTTTATTATCATATTTTTAAGTTTTATAATACCTTTTTTAAATCAGTATTGAAATATTGTGAATTATCACTTATAGTGTTTAAATATTGACATAGGTAATATATTTTAGTACCTTCAAATCTAAAACATAAATAAAGATGATTATGAATTTGGTTAAATTTGAGTTTTTAGTACATTTGAATTCAATTAGAGTATAATATTTTTATTAGTTATTCGATTCGATTCGAGACTAAAAAATTTCAATTGATTCAAAACTTGATCTCTATCGAATTAAATAGTTATTGAATAATTACATTTTTATCATAAAACAAGAAGTTCGTGTTAAAGTATTATTATACCATAAAAGTAATAAGAAAGTATATAATATTTATAAAAGGGGAACAAATAATACATAAGAAGAATAAAGATTAGGGTAAAGTATAGTAATGGTCACTGAACTTTTCTAAAGCTTTCATTTAAGTCCCCTAACTTTTAAAACTTGCAATACAATCCTCCAACATTTAGTTCATTTGCAATATGGTCCCTGGCGTAACCGGCCGTTTGACGCTGTTACACTGCCATTAGTACGTTTACAATATGGTCATTGAACTTTTCAGGCGCTTGCATTTAGGTCCCCCAACTTTTAAAACTTGCAACACAATCCTCAATTTCATGCTAAACCCCAAATTCATTTTCGATCTCGAATTTTCTTTTTCACTTCTCTCTTCTCATTTTCAGCGTAACTTTTCAGTCGGGGATACATGGGAAATTCTAATCTAACTTTGAATTATGTGGAGGTGTTGAATTGAATATGGGTCCATTGAGAGAAGACCCGACCAAGGGACTATCGGAACCATCAACGATTCAAGGTGTAATGTTAGATACATGTCATCTCAGGTGAAGCATAGATGTTCGATGAAATGCTCGTGAGAAAAAATGGGGTTAGAAATGTAGAGTTGACAAATACTACTAAGATGAACTAAGTATCATTTTTTAAAGTCACAAACAAAGCTGGAATTATTTTGTATAAATGACATGTAATAATTTCTTCATTTAATCATTGTGGTTAAAGATTTTCCGACAGATGATCAAATATAATGAAATCACAAACAATACATTCACCTCTCAGTCGCTTTAACTCACATACACTCTCGTTTGGTTTTTGTTCTTCAATTTTCCGCTATGTAAAATTGTAAACCCAAGCAGTGCTCTGTCTTTAAGTTTTTTATTTACAAATAAAAAATGGAGGAAGAATTGCTGGAACGCAACACCGATTGCGTTTATTTCTTAGCCTCTCCCATCACTTGCAAAAAGATATTTATTTTCTCTTTTGGGCTATCCAGAAGTAAGTTATTCCTCTTTCGCATTTTCCCATTTTCAGTTCGCATTGTGAGTTTTTTGTTGAAATTTTTATGTTTCTAGAACTGCATGTCAATGATCTGTATATTCAGTGTTAGTTTTGAACCAAAACCATCTAATTTTCTTTCTTTCTTCTTAATCAAAACTTTTAGTATTCCTTATGAAAGATATTCAGTCAATCAGAATAGAAGTGAAAGAGGGTCCTAGGCTAAATTTTTTTGATCTTCTTGTTTGGTTTTTCTTTAAATCAGAGAATTGGTTGTGAGAATCGACATAGTGAAATTGTCAGGCTCAATCCGAGAGACTACTGATACTAGTTTACTGGGAATTGTATTGATCCGACCTATGGTTTTCGACGTCATGTGAGCTTGTATTCTTTTTAATAAGTTCATGTTGATTATGGGACTGATATATCGTGAACGAATTGTATTTTTTACGTGTTTTGGAAATTGAGGTATGCGTTTCAAATTTTAAAAGTTGGGGACCTAAATGCAAGCGCTTGAAAAGTTCAGTGATCATATTGCAAACGTACTAACGGTAGTGTAACGACATCAAACGATCGGTTACGTCGGGGACCATATTGCAAACGGACTAAATGTTGGAGGACTGTATTGCAAGTTTTAAAAGTTAGGGGACCTAAATGAAAGTTTTAGAAAAGTTCAGTGAACATTACTATACTTTACCCTAAAGATTAAATTGATAAGATTTTCAAATATAAAGAGTCTTTATTTTTATTTATTTTTTGACAAATTTTAAGTTTAACCTTAATTTTACCTAGATGGGACCAGAAGAAGAAAGGGAGACTCTAGGGGAAGGAAGGGGAGTGCTCCTAATAGGTTTAGAATTTGTGACTTAAAGGAATATGAGGGAACAAAGATAAACAGCTTGACCAACCAACCAAATAAACTTCTCAAATATGAAAAGTTCAATTTATTGAATTATTTCAATAGAATCAAACTAATATAATTCATAAGTTTTAGAAATTAAAATTGTTATTATACTTGGCCACCACATCGTTATTTCGTCTAACATATATAATGGCCAACAATTTATTTGTAATAATATTTTAACTTAGTGACTAAAATATAATATTTAGGGAAAAAAGTGATCCATTTGTAATCAAATTAATACTCAAGTGATCTAGTGTGTATTTTACCCGAAAATAAATGAATAAAGAGAGCGTTAATTGAAATTTTCTGTATCTTCTCACAGCCTCCTCCGTGATTAAAACCCTAGATTCAGGGAGAAGAGCGAGAAATTTAATATTTATTCATATTCCCTTTTTGCCCCTTTTCTTTAATCCGTACAAGAACAGGGATTCAAATTCCGAAACACGAAGAAGAAATTCTATGGATTTGGATCAGTGGATATCAAAGGTTAAAGACGGCCAATATCTTTTGGAAGACGAGCTTCAACTTCTTTGCGAATACGTATTTTCCCTTTTCCATCTCTTTTTTCCTTTGTTTTTTGCCCCTTTCCTTTCTACTTCTAGGGATTTGAATTGGTTTACCTTATTTTCTTTATTTTTTGCTCTTGATTGATAAAACTAGGGTTTGCGTGGTTTTTTTGATTCGGAATTGGGATGATCTGGGAAAATGATTGATTCGTTTGTTAAAACGAAGCTAACCATTTGTAAATGAATCAAGAATTGCAATAAATGTCTAGTTCATGTTTGTACTTAGAACTCTCACGGCATCTATGTTTTTTTCTCTTTAAATGATAGCATTTTATTTTTAATAAAAATAAAGCTTATGGACTCGGAATAACTTGTATTCCCCCCCTGATTTTATTTGTTTGGAAGAATCATGTCTGTATCTTTTACTGTTATATTAGTCGATAGAATTCAGTTTAGGTGTTAATTGTTATTCACTTTATTGGTTTAATTTGGTGGTTGCTATATGACAACTGTCGTTTAGTTCTCTGTCATTTTATTTGAACCTGGTTCATTGTATACTTATGTTGTAAAACATTATAGGTAAAAGAAATCCTCATTGAGGAGTCCAATGTGCAACCCGTCAATAGTCCGGTAACCGTATGCGGTGATATCCATGGCCAGTTTCATGATCTAATGAAGCTTTTTCAGACAGGAGGTCATGTACCGGATACAAATTACATTTTTATGGTAATATCTCCTGCGTGGAAAATTCTGTGCTAATTCTATGTGATTTCCGTATCTGTTATGGTATTGATTTTGACTATTGGACAGGGAGATTTTGTTGATCGAGGTTATAATAGTCTTGAAGTTTTCACTATTCTTTTGCTTCTTAAGGCTAGGTAAGCATCTATAATATTTTCCTTGGGGTTGTCTAATTATTTTCAATCATGTGTTTGGGTGCATTATTTCTCTGCTTTTGGCTTGCTCTTGGTTCTCTATGTAATTACTAGCTCAATTCTCAGACCTCTAACGTAAAATGTACTTGGGTCAAGATGTATCCGATCATTGTTGATTGTAGTTTTGTTTATAGAAATAAAAATGAGTTCTCATCCTTAAACTTTTTGAAATCACCAATTTTTTCCTACTTCAGGCTAAATGATCCTTTTGATGTTATCATGGTTTCTGTTTATGCGACAAGATATTACTATATGTTGTATGCAGTATCATAGTTCTGTTTGGAAGACTAAAGATGCTGATATCATTATTTATTTATTCTATTGCTTCTTCTATGCCTTTGATAAGGACATTAAATTTATGGTTCTGTTTTTGGACTGTTAGGCCACCAATACTATTTCTCGTTTGAAATAAAAGGTAACGTTAACTTTTGTCTCTCTCCCTCCCCCTCCCCTCCCTAAACCATAGGTACCCAGCTAATATCACACTCTTGCGGGGAAATCATGAAAGCAGACAGCTAACTCAGGTGTGCTTTTGAATTATACCACAGTGGAATATGCTAGTAAAGACCTTATAAAAATGTATGCATGTTCTGTTGTGTGTTATAAGTGTCTTCTGCTTCTTTTCCTTTTTCTTTTGGACCTTTTGGTTCATCATCTTTCTTCGAGGCTGTTTCTTGTCATTCTTAAAGCTTCATTACAATTCCGTGTTTAATTTTTTTCCTCCAAGGAAAAAGGGGATTGAATGTGTTTTAGTTTGAGAGTAGCATAGTGAAGCGGAGGATACGAGCCACAAGAAGCTATATGTACCAATATCATATTAATTTGATTCTAAGGTGGCGTTTGGTTCGCATGAATCTCTTGGAATTAGGGGGAATTGGAATCCAATTCCACCACTTTCTCATGTTTGGTTCAAGTTTTCCAAGGGAATTGGAATCTCTCATGGCTTCAACTTTACATCAAATGAGGGAAAGTGAATTCCATCCATTATACGATGGAATTCAATTCCCTTGTTGGAGGGAATTGAAATTTGACCATACTACCCTCATCAATCTTTTGGTAACTTATTTATATATTAATAAAAATATTTTTTTATTATTTCGGGTCGGGTTTCTAATTCATATATTCGGGTCGGGTGAAACTTTATTTTGGTCGGGTCGGGTCGGTTTTTTTAAGAGTGATATTCAGGTCGGGTCGAGTTCGGGTTTAGGGTGAAAAATACTCAACCCGAAAATATATATAAATTTTACCTTATATATTTAGAAATAATTACAATAATACCCTTCTATATATAATTTTTTTTCATTTAAGTCATTGTTTTATTGAATAAAAATAATTTGTTTATTATTTTGGGTCGGGTCGGGTTTTTAATTTATATATTCGGGTCGGGTCGGGTCGAGTCGGGTGAAACTTTATTTTGGTCGGGTCGGGTCAGTTTTTTTAAGTGTGATATTCGGGTCGGGTTCGGGTTTAGGGTGAAAAATATCCGACCCGACCCAAAAAATATATAATTTTATCTTATATATTTAGGAATAATTACAATAATACTCCTCTATGTATATATTTTTCAATTAAGTCACTGTTTTTATTGAATAAAAATAATTTTTTTATTATTTCGGGTCGGGTTTCTAATTCATATATTTGGGTTGGGTCGGGTGAAACTTTATTTTGGTCGGGTCGGGTCTTGGATGGAGATTCCCTTGTTCTCGTGTCGGGTCGGGTGGACCAAAATCTCGACCCAACCCATGACCATCCCTAATTGGGATGATTTTAACTTATGATGTTTATTAGCATGATTTTTATAATTTATTGAAATGAATAATCAATCAATAAAATTAATTTTTTTTTTAATTTTTATAGTATATTACTATATGTAATTTATAAACAAATTAAAATTAAGCAAAAAAAAAAGGCAATCCTGTCATTTTATATTACGTAAATCAAATTCATCTGACATGTCTGCGAACCAAACAGAATATAGAATTGGATTCTAATTCAATTTCTTGCCAACCAAACAGAATATGGAATTAGATTTTAATTCCTGACAGATTCCAATTCCTTCACAGATTCCAATTCCCTCAGAAACATTCCAGCAAACCAAACGCCACTTAAGGCTAGTTGAGCAGTGCTCTGAAGTTATAATTTTTTTTAATAAAAAAAAAGCATTTCAAACGTCAAGGACCGAGACTGACATTTTAATGTGTGTATATACTTTTTACTAGGTTTACGGCTTCTATGATGAGTGCCAGAGGAAGTATGGAAATGCTAATGCATGGCGGTATTGTACAGATGTTTTTGACTATCTTACACTTTCAGCAATTATAGATGGGACTGTAAGCATTCTATCTATAAATCATCTATTTCAAATCGCCTTATTTTCACCTCTTTAATAGTTCTGTATATTATATTTTGCAGGTACTTTGTGTACATGGTGGCCTTTCTCCTGACATACGGACAATTGATCAAGTATTTTTCTTATTTCTCAGCTTTTGGTCGGCTGTCTTGTTATGCATCAATGCCTAGAAGTTATTTAATTGATCAGCTTTTGTCCTTAAAGTAGTTCTGTTGCAGCGTGTTACTTTATTGACTTTATAACCATCTAGTCTCAGGATTAATATCCTCCTTATACAGTTCTGTGAATTATCATCCACTACAAAGTCTTATCAAGTAAAAAAAAAAACTAAATTGTTTGTGCAGTTTCATTTTATTTGGTTTTAAAGCTGAAGGGATAATCGTCTTTAGTGAGTGACCATCTATTTCTCATTGATAGTATTTTCTTTAGAAAGTACTACTCTCGAGAACTTGTTCTACTATATGTCTATTGATTGCATGTTAATTTCGTTTTTCGTTATGTGATGTTGATGCCCTTTTCTGTTTTCTGCTTTTATGCCAGATAAGGTTAATTGACCGGAACTGTGAAATCCCTCATGAAGGCCCATTCTGTGATCTCATGTGGAGTGATCCTGAAGAGATCGAAACATGGGCAGTCAGTCCACGTGGAGCAGGTTGGCTATTTGGGTCCAGGGTCACATCCGAGGTAATTTATCTCATCTCAATTCTATAGTTATGCTGTCATTCTGAAATTATATTTTTAACCTTTAAATCTATTGCAGTTTAACCACATAAACAAGCTTGATCTTGTTTGCCGAGCTCACCAACTTGTGCAAGAGGGTCTCAAGTATATGTTTCAGGATAAAGGCCTAGTAACAGTAAGACTCCAAAATTTCTGATTTCATCATTTTAGCTCAACTTTATTTAGAGCCTAATTGAATTCCTTGATAATTTATTTTTGCAGGTGTGGTCTGCTCCGAATTATTGTTACCGTTGCGGTAATGTAGCCTCTATATTGAGCTTCAATGAGAATATGGTGAGAATTTTTTTTATCTCACCTTTTCTTTTCGATCAGGATTGGAGATTTTTTCTAGCTATTATTGTTCTGAACTTGTATCGGCTATTAAACACTCTCTTCAACAAACATGTGCCGTGCCGCTCATAGTTCTTATGGTTTTTTACATTTATTCAGGAGAGAGAAGTAAAGTTCTTCACTGAAACTGAAGAGAATAATCAGATGAGAGGTCCGAGGACCGGAGTTCCTTACTTCTTGTAGTCAAAGTGAGTCGCATCAGTACCTGTTAAATTATCCAAGCAGTTGGTTGTTCGAAGGAAGGTGCAGACAAGGAAGCGTCGGTACAATGCTAGCAGCGGATGGACCTGTTCTGGAAATGTGGTTCTGCTCCGTCCAAGCTACTTCTGGGTATTAATGGGTCGTGTAATGTCGAGTCTTGTCTGAAGGTTGCTGCATGGTTGCAACATACCTTTTCCCTATAATATTTTTTTTTCTATTTTCATTGCCATTAATATGTGCTACTTTTGATGTCTGCTTTATATTCCTGGGTTCTGCATTTGTTTTCTTATTTGTATACTGCTTCATCTAGTTCTCATGTTTATCATTGTTTTTTCATTTTATCAACCAGAGTCCATCCCTTACTCAAACATGGTTATTATTTATATAAGAGAAAATAATCTCAGTGACCGAAAATGTTTTATAATATACGATTTTGATCAATTTTTTTTCGATTTGTCAAAATGACTAACAAAATCGCAATACGATCTCTAAATCATAACGCGATCTCCAATATCGTAAATCAGTTTTCAGATTCGTAACGCGATTTTGACTATCGCAATGCGAATATGTAAATCGCAACGCGAACTTCGATAATTGCAATGAGAACTTGGATTATCGTAATGAATTTGGAAAATCGCAACGCGAATTTCAACTATCGTAACGCGATTCTGACTATCGCAACGCGATTTTTCTCGTTGCGATAGTTCAAGTTCACGTTGCGATAGTCGAAGTTCGCGTTGCGATAATCCAAGTTCGCGTTGCGATAATCCAAGTTCGCATTGCGATTTTCCAAAATCGCAACGACTGGTGGTATTGCATTTGTTTCTTAAGAATTTTCTCTAAAAAGATAGTATCCGCGCGGACGTGTCGAAGATACGTATTACCACGACCACGAGACGGCAGCGGCGGCGGTGCGCGAGAGTCCCCCTTTCTCTTCCACTCAACAAGGAAGTAGGAAATTCAAGCCTTAAATACTCATTCTCAATAGTGTTTCCAATACTATGTGGGATTGAGCATTGCAAACACATGAGAATCTTTTACACTATCGCAACACATTCTTTTATTGTTTCAAACTAAGATCTTACAAATGGCTTGGGAATCTTTTACACTATCGCAACACATTTTTTATTGTTTCAAACTCCACGTGAATTTGGAATAGTTAAAATGTAAACTTATTTTGGATTTTCACTATCGCAACACATTTTAACTATCGCAACACATTTTTCAAAATCGCGTTGCGAATTTGGAAACTGAGTTGAAAAATTAGAGTTCGCGTTGCGATTTTATTGGTCATTTTAGCAAATCAAAAAAAATTGGTTAAAATCGTATATTATAAGACATTTTCGGTCACTGAGGTTATTTTCTCTTTATATAAAAGTATAGTTCTAATTATGAATTTTAGTGAATTGCATCACGTGTCAAAATTATTTATATTCGATTTTTCGAATATTTTAATATCATTCGTACACTGTAATTATCATTCTAAATCAGTTGGTAAACTTTTAAATCTTTCAATTTCATCCCTAAATTCATTTGATCTAAATTTAATTTTTTTTCACACAATAATATAGTTTGGTATATCAATAATTTAAGATGAAATTGTAATGTTTAAAAGTTAAAGGATTGCTTTAAAATTAAGTCACATATTATGATGAAATTAAAACATTCAAAAGTTCATAAATGTGTTTAGAATGAATGTTCTAGTTTAGGGACATTAATACAATTAACTCAATAAATTGTCTTTCTTTTCAAAAACTTGTCGCAGGTTAAAATTTCCTTACAATGAACAATACATCTTGAATTATATTAAGGGTAAACTATGCAAATATTCTCTCATGATTTTTTGTCTGACCTACTTTGATAACCAATTTAAAATTTAAGAGAAAATGATCTTTAATATTATCGATCTGTTCGATTTTAGTTCATCCGCCATTAATTTCCGTTAACTCTTAACGGAATTATTACGTGTAATTAAACATTTAGATCTTCTTCTTCTTCTTATTAACAATGTTGTGAGAAAGGTAACCATATTTGCTCTCCGCCGCAAAAGAATAAGGTCGCAGGGGCGATGATGGGGCTTCTGCACAACAGTCATCTTCCTTTACTATTAAACAGTTTCTTACAGCAATGGTGGTCGCGGATACATGGTAGTGTTTTATGCATAGATACATGCACGAGAACAAGTTCTTATATCGACATGTTCACTCCCCGCACCATCGTCTTGTCGTTCCTTATGCACTTGGAGCTTTGTACAATCATTCGGTGGAGGGGCTTCTCGGTGACACAATAGGCGGTGCCTTATCATTTCTCCTGTTCGACGTGTCTCCTCGAACTTCCATCTTTTTCTTCTCATTTTTCACCATGAAAACTATCGATGATCATTGCGGGTTAGTGCTGCCCTTAAACCCTTTTCATAGTTTCTTCAAAAACAATTCCGCGTACATGATTTGCACCATCATCTTTACGGTATCAAATACAACTACTCGCAACCGTTCTTCGTCATGTGGGATAGAATTCTTGGGATGTACATGACTCGCTCAAGAAGAGAGAAGGAGAGGGGGAGTCGAAGCACGATTAAGGAAAGAGTTGAAAGATGATTAAACTAGTTAGACCGCGGGCATCCTTTCTGGTTTCTTGATTGAAACAGCCAAAGAAATTGGTGAAGAAGGCAAAGATTACCTCTCAACTGCAGTTGAGAACTTCCTGACCGGAGTTAAAGAAATCATCGAAACATTCTCTTCTTCCACTAATGATCTCAACGACGTTTCTAAAGTTATTGACTTTCACGTTGGGATACCTCATGGTATGTTATTTGCATTGGGACTTTTCAAATGTATTTGAAAATGATTTCTGTTCCATTAATTCAACCATTGAAATCTCTTTTATGTATTTGGGCTTGGCAGGTTTTGTTCTTTCAAATGGGGGATTCCTTTCTTTCGTGGTGGCAGGGAACATAACTTCCCATAAGGTTTGGAATTATTCAAGGTTGAGTTCTTTTGGCATTAAGCGTATTAAGCTTAAGATCATACAAAAGATGAGAATCTTCTCTTCTTGCTACCAAAGGACAAGCAGGTTACTAAATTTTTTGAATTTACTAGACTTTGTACATCCTTGAATAATAATATAAGGCTATTGTCATTTACGTAGCATTTATGCTTTTTGTCTTCCGTAGTGATTTCGTCAGTTTTATTCCGGGAGAAGGAGAAGGAGAAGGAGAAGGAGAAGGAGAAGGAGAAGGAGAAGAAGAAAGAAGAAGAAGACGACACCTGGATTTTGGATTTTGATTTTTTTTTTAATTTTTTTAATTTTCACTTCAGAATTTCGTTTAGGGGTTAACGAAAGTTAGAAAAATTTAAACCGGTTGGATCGACAAGTTAGTGACTTAAATCGGATGGACCGATAACGTTAAGTACAAGAAGAAGACACGTGGGTTCTGAATTTTGGATTTTGATTTTTTTATAATTTTTTTATTGTCACTTCAGAATTTCGTTGAGGGGTTAGCGGAAGTTAATAACAGAGAGATTTAAACCGGTCGGATCGATAAATTAGTGACTTAAACTAGATAGACCGATAACGTTAAGTACCATTTGCCTTTAATTTTTTTTTTGGTGACCAAAGTCGGTCATATCAAAAACATAAGAAGCATCGAATAGTTTACAGCATCATCGTCATTATTATCATCGTTCAGTATTTGATTAATACAAATCTCATACTGGCTTTTCAGGCTTTCCAGGAGGGGTCCATTGAAGGAAGCTGATATTCATCAGGCTTTAGGGACAAAGCAAAGTCCGGCAATGCTGGAGCTATTTGCATAATCCTGGAACCCAAATTCAACATAATAAGTATATATATATATATATATATATAATTTAAACCAATGTCACGGCAAAGGATACAAAAATGGGATTAATTAGAAATAAATTGAGTGTTGGAAAGATCATCCCTAGCAATTCACCCTTGGAATGTACATCACAACTTGATCCTGACCTTGACAACTTTTCCCAACATGTCCTTTTTAAAATTTTCCGGTGACGACATGGTACGATCTCAGAGTGTCGCATCGTTATAAAGATTAAAAATCCAAGTTTATAGACCAAGTCGAGAAAAATGTCGACTTCCGAGACAAGTCCAGGAGGGGGGACTTACAGTTCATGTTTTTGTGAATCCCAGTTGATTGTTTTGCTTGGTATATCTTTTGGAATCTTCTCAGCAAGATACTTGCTGGCTCCCCAGAGTGGAGGATTACTGGGACAAAAACAATTTGTACAAGCGAAGATTACTAAGTTGCACATCCAGACAATGATTTAGTTAAACACTATGTTACTCAGACCCGGGTATAAGTGTTGGACATGCACGTCATAGAAAATGAGAAGTCCTGAGTAATATAGGTTATATTTGCAGGGAGAGTTCACAAGTAAACTACCGTGATGAAGGGAGTGCCATATGGAATCCTTCGCAAGCCTTTTTGCTTTCTTTGAGATACTCTTCTGCTGCTTGGAGAGCCGCTGCAGCCATGTTGGCAGACGTGTTCCCTTCTTCGAGGATTAATCCATGGAGATAGTATGCAATAGCCTGAAAAATAAAAAGGACGTGTAATGTTCATGCTTAGAACGCTACCATTGAGAGGACCATATAAGGTTGATCCAGTTAGTATCCTATACATGTTCAGTAAATAAACAAGTAAATTTGTAAAAGACTAGTTTCTATCAAGAGCTTTTCGATCTCCACAAGACCGGATTCGAGTTCAGAGAGATAGTTGAGTCGCAGAAACAAAAAGTTCCCTCAAACTTTTTGCAGGTTGAAAGAGAGCCCTAGCTCGTTAGATAAAACACCGGTTCAAGACCTCCACCAAGGAGATCGGGTGAGATGGACATGAACTACTAGCTCCTTAAGAGATGCTTGCATGTCTACTTGTGCTGCAAAGGAAGCAATGAGAGTTACCTTAGCTTCAATGTGCTTCCACTGAATGAAAAGCTTGTGCTTTTCTCCCCATCCATTTGCTAGTGGAAGGTCCTTTATGTACTCATGAGCCTGCATTTTATATGTATAAACCAGAAAATTGTCAAAGACAAACGATTTTATACATACATACATACATATATATCTGTGCACGCGCGTATTTAAGCGTAAAATGAAATGTACACAAAACCAAAGAAAAGAGAAAAGCATACTGATTGCATGCAAGGAAAAATAAATTTACCTGATGCCAGTATTTAACCATCTCACATGCTAGCCTCCTTTTCACTGCCAGTGTGGCCTTGATGCTATCAATTGCCATTCCCAGTTGAATCTCAACACCCTGTAAATATTTCGAAATTAAACGCAGCAATTTACTCTAGAGCTTAAAATTAAAGGCATCCTCCGATTTCTTTAATTAGAAACACAATATTCGAGTTACACCGTTGTGCCACACGTTACATTACCGCAAAATTTGCCAGTGATATAGCCTCACACTGGCTATGAAATATTACCTGGCCTAATGCTTGCAAACAAAGGGATTTGAGCACTCCCTCTGTCAGGTCTAATGGCAAATCATTCCTGCGATAAACAACAGTTTCGAGAACTGGTTAGTCCTTTCTGTGAATTATGATACATAAGGAAAATGAATATTAGAATTCATTTCAGGAACACTAGAGCAGAAATCTTTCGAGCAAACCTAAGCTCCAAGGGCAACTGGGGAAGAACTTTCTGCACAGCAAAATCCAGATATCCAGCTGCCTTTAAGAAAATGTCGATGGATGCTCGTTTGCAGTCTTAGAGAAATGAAGAAAAAGGTAGATTTAGTCAGATTAATAGAGAAGGCCACGGTTTAAGTGCAAGGAAAGGATGGAAAGAAACATCTAATGTATAATCCCTGCATAACACCTTATAGTTATCAGCTTAAGAAAAAGATATCGACATTTACCATTGCCCGAGGTACCAATGACCTAAGGATCGGTTGGAATTTCCCCTTACTTAAAGTAAGAGGGATCTTCAAGTGAAAATGGGATAAGGGAAGGCCACCCCTGGTTGTGGCACCCAATTAATTATCCAAAAGGAAGAAAACACAAAGATGGAAAAGAAACTAAAGTCTTCTAAATTTAAGTTAACATAAAGACTAGAACTAAAGTAAATTAAGTTCCGGGATGTTTTCTATAAGAAAACTTCTCCTGTGATTTTTTTGTGGTGTCAGCGTTAAAAGATAGACCGAAGTAACCTTGCCTGTCGATGCTAGTAAATTAAAGCATGAACATCCTTCTTACAGAAACTAAGGGTCTAAGAAACTCATGATGCATAACTGAATGCAATTATGCAACCTTTGGTACACAAAATTCTTGGTAAACCCTCACATGGAATCTGTTAGTATTTGTAAAATATATACAAGGGATTTATGATCTATGCCTTTCTGCACATGTATATAAAATGTAGCAGAAAAAAATATCATGTTGTTCGATAGCAACGAGCATTGGAAGTGCAAGAAATAGAATTATTATCCTCACCTTCTAATGATGTATTCTGATAGCCAGCAGTAGATTTGTTTGGAAGAAGCAATAAATTGGCCTGTGACAACAATAGAACTGCCATCAAGTGCAACACTGATAGTACCTCATACCAAGAATCCGACATGGTAGTTTCCTGCACAATAGAGAACCGTTTGAAAGGGAAACTGTAGACATTGAAGGGATATGAAAATTACGATTCGGGTCTGATTTAATTAACCTCCTCATCATCTTCCTGATTTATCCAACAGAACCGCAAGTTATGTTTTAGCCGAATACCTATATATGGTTAAAAAGATAAAACTTCAGAACATTTTTAACATTATATCAAATTCATAACTTACGGCATATATATAGTTAATCATGCAGATACCATTTTCAACTAGCCCCAACAAAACCGGCAGATAATCCTCGAGAGCCTGCTGCAGATCGGTCAAGGTTGAGCCACCTGCGTTATAAGATTGATGTTTAATTAAACAACATCAAACAATTACCAAAGACAATCTCAAAGTCCTAAAGAAGTCATCAAACCGTGTTGTGTGGCTGTTCTTCTCGGCTTAGTAGTCATAGGTGCTTCTTGACCTGCCATGACCTCTATACGCGTTCTGAGCGCAGACAGACGTTCGACCAAGCTCTTGGATAGCCCATCACCAAGTGGCTCAGCAAAATCAAGCGGCCTCGGAATTCTCAGTCCAGGAACAAAAACTACAATTTCCCCAATATTTTTAGGCCTCCTTCTGGCTCCCCCCGCAACATCCGGTGTCGATAGCAGGCACCCCATTTCCTTCCACCCTCCGTTCGTCTCAAGTCCTGAAACAGTCCATATTATATAGAATCAGAATAGGAAACATCAAGTGGAGTATTTTCAAACGCTTCATCTACTACATATGAACAGAACGATTTGTTCGCTGACTGTGGAATTTGACCAACCATGATCTTGTTATTAAATTAGCTAGAAACTAAGAACCGAAATTCGGATTCTTTTCCAGTACACAAGGATCCATAATAGTGAGAATTTGAAGCACATCCTAACAAAACGAAATTCCATGAATGAAAATCATATCATATAGGCTAAGAAGAAACGATTAATTAAATAACAAGTTGCTTATCAACCTACTGGTTTGGCAACAAAAACCAGGAACCATAGTGGTTTCATAGAAGCATCCAAATTCCAAATAAAAACAATGGATAGACAAACTAAACCCCCAAAAAAGAACCCTTTTTTCAGGTTCTCCTGACCTTCACAATCATTACTTTCTTGCAACAGCAAAATTATTTACTTTAGAGAATCATTTGTGAAACAAAACAAAAGGAATCAACATACCTGACAAGTTCTTCTCAAACAATAATTTGGAAACATTTAGGAATCTCCATTTTATATACTATTGCATCTTTTGTGAAATACCTTAGCTGTTAAAGCAAGTGAGAAAGAGAAGTGAAGGAAGAAACTAAAAAAACTGTTAAAGAGATTATGGATATCTCTCTTTCAGCTGTGTTTTGGGTTGGGTTTTCTCTCTTTTTCCGGCCAAAGTTGTTCTGTATTGAGTTGGAGCAGATGATTGTTTTCTAACATCAAAAGCATGGTTGCTTTGCTTTCTGACAAACTCTGGTGAAAATGTGTAATGAGTTTTGACAGTTATATATATATATATTATTGTACATATTGGCATTGCACCAAAGTTGCTAACATCCTCAAACGTCAGAAAATTTTACACTGGAGAAAGGAGGTGAAAACGTAATAATAAAGTTAGAGGCTTTAAAAAGGAAACTTTTTTTTTACATTTAATCACATGATTCACCCACAAATTTAGTTAAATGACACATTTCTTGCTTTAAAACTGATTTTCGTAAAGGCAGCTCTTTGTTACTTGCAATCCGATGATTTTGAACGAAAATCGATATACATACGTCACTACTGCAATATTCATTGTTTGATCAGTGTGAAATTGAGATTTTCTTTTCCTTAAAATATGGGTTAAGAAAAAAGTTGCAGGAGCTTTTGCATAGAATTATCCTAGAAATTCAAACATTGTTAAATACTCAACTGTTGAATGTCCAAAAGATGGGTATTTCGAAAATTGAATGATTAAATTAAATTTTTATAAAATTTAATGACCAAAACTCTTAAATATTTCGAGTTTAAATCTTTCTATTGGACTTGATTTCATCCAACATAACCAAGACTTATACACTGATACTTTTGATTTAATTGTACCGCATGTTCTCAAATTATGATATTCATTTTAAGTAGTATGTAAGTTTTTTACTATTTCCTTCTCATCCTTAAACTATGATTCTTATTCTAAATTGTTTCTCAAACTTTTGAAAATTCCAAATTTATCCTTAAACCACGACCCTCGTTCTAAATTAATCCCCAAACTTGGGAACGTTATAATAACTTCTCATTTAAAATTTTAGAGATGAAAATAGAATATTCAAAAGTCTAGGGACCAATTTAGAACCGGAAGTCATTGTTTAAGGATGAATTAAAAAAATGTAAAAGCTTAAAGACTAATTTACAATAAGGGTTGTAAGTTAAGGACGTATAATGTAATTAACCCAATAAATTTCGAAATAAACTTAAGAAAGTGGCGTCCCTTTATTCTTCCTTTAATCATATCTATTGGAAAACAAACGTGGAAAATGATAAACAAAATGGGATTGATATAAGCAGAAAGTGTAGCTTTTAGCTTTAAAAGAATGCCAAATTGTTGCCTATTGGCTATTTTGCTCCATGTTTTGGTACTTTGTCTAATTGGTGGCATCAACACTTGTAAAATGCCTATTTTTTTAATAAATCCGGGTAAATACATTATGATATATGTTCAAATATTCACGATCATTTGATAATAAACGTTTATATATATATATATATATATATATATATATATATATATATGTGTGTGTGTGTACGATGCTCAAACTTATGACCTTAAGAAATAATAACGAATCTCTTAACCACTTAGATCGTTTGGTTCGTACATAAAATATCTAATTCTTTGTCGCTAAAGAAAACTGCCGACGACACTCGTCACTATAAGTGCTTATACAATTCAAGTCAACTTGTTTTCTACATAATAAATATTTATTTTTGCCTTACAATGTTCAACAAAGATAACCCCTTTTTCCTAGCAATTTGCAAATTTTAAATTATATTTATCTATATTTTTTATTACTCACCGTAAATTATATAGGATAAAATATATTAGAGGTCATCGAGCTATGTTAAAATGATTATTTTGATCACTTAACTTTTAAAAATTATAAAATAATTAGGGAAATCATCAAATTGTTACATTATAATCATTGTGACGTTATAATAATTGTAATATTTCGATAACATTTAATGATTATTTTGTAATCATTAAAAAATTAATGATTATTTTATAATTTTTTAAAATTTATTTATTAAAATGATCATTTTAACATGGTTCCGTTATCCAATTATATATTACCATACAAAATTTCTCTTAATTGTATTTTTTTCGTAAAACGATCTAGTTAATTGTATTTACAAATATTCATGGTTGAATTCTATAAAGGGTCCATGTACTATGTATTCTTTTAATTAAGTCCCTCTATTGTAACAATAGAAGACCTGGCATTCAGTTTTAGACGACGACAACAACAACAACAGAACCCAATTCCCATATGCAATGGGGTAAGGGAGAGGTAGGGTAGTAAGCTGCCCCCAATGCCAGGTTGAGAGTAGCTTCCGTGAAAGACCTCCGACAGTCAGAAAATTAAAAATATAGATAAAATGCACTGCATATATAAATAAATACATAAATACATAGTTGAACAGTATTCATATGAAGTCATTAATATCATATGCGCGTTTGTACTTGGGCAGTAATCCCTGCAAATAAATCCCTGCGAAAATCTCTGCATATAAACAGAAACGTAAGACCCGATTAAATTTAAAAGTGAAGAGAATGTTACACAGAAGTCAACGATAGCAAGCCCAGTTCTAAGCCTTCATAAATACCAATAACAGAAACATATAAAACGTAGAAGTCATGGAAATTACTACAAAGACATTAAAAGAATACAGATATGATACACCCTAGAGATGTGACCCACACTACTCGACTACCCTAGTCTTCAGTTTTAGAGAGTTGTTTATTAAAAATAAAAAAAGGATTTGATGGAAATTTTTAAAAATTATTTAATTAAATGTACCAAATATATTTTTTTATGATCAAATACACATTGAATATTCTATCGAGGGGAGTGCCATTCTGAACAATATATTTATTACAATAATTCTGAAAAATATTTATTATTTTTTTCATAAAAATAGGATTGAACGTGTATTTCCGGACTATTTTAAAAGTAATTTTGTATAATATTGAGAAAAAAAAATCTTTCGAAAATATATTAAAAAATTAATAATGTTTTCATTAAAAACGTTACACGTGTATGAAGATATTTATGGTGAAGAAAGCTATGTTGGGAATATATATAATGGACGGATGGATAGATGAGACTTTATATAGTGTAGGAGATGTCATGAATAACGATTGATATAGATTCATTCTACGTATTTTGATTTTATAACGTTGAGTTTTCTTTATATAACAAATATTTGATTTTAAATAATAATATATTTGTTCCTTATATATTTAAAAATAATTGTAATCATATTTTTTATTTATATATTTAATTATATCTATATCTTATCGAATAAAAATAAAAATTAATGAGACACCGTAGCATTTACACTAAATAAAAAAATTAATGCAATGTTCACAATACTTTAGATGAGACAGTTTCCCCCGCCCCCAAATTTTATATGATTAGTTTCATCTCTTTTTTTATACAATTATTTAAAAAAATTGATTCTGAAATTAGAAAATAAATTGTAACCTGTTAATTTTTAAATTTCTTTTAATTTTAGATTAAATAAACTAAATCTTAAGCTTTTATTTGTATTTTAATAATTATTTTCATTATATTTATATTTATCTCCTAACAATTTTATCGTGACTCTGCCCCTATTTAAAGAGAGGGGTAAGAATAAATGAATCATTGCTGTGATGTGAAGAGGATCACAAATTTGCAAATGATACGTGACATACAAGAGACGGTCCAAAGTTATCATAATAATAATAATAATAATAATAAAAGCGGCCACCGCCCAATAGTTTCTTATCAATCTCATCATTCCTATTTTTATAATAAATGATTATGCTGTACGAATAAGATAAAAAATATAAATATTTTAATTACAATATAAGTACTAAAATTTATACGATATAATCTTAAATATAATAATAATAATTATATGAATAAATATAAGAATTATAATATGATCACGGCATCGTCGACCAAAATTTCCTCCCTTTATTATTTTTTTTAAAAATCAAACCAAAGTCTTCAATTAATACTATTTTGCTTCCATTTGGGGTTTTGAAAAGTGTATTAATTTCGGGTGATGTCTTGTCTAACAACGAGTTTGGAAGTAGTCTTTTCAAATGAAATAAAATATCGAAAACAATTTAAATAAAATAAGTGGAAAATATTAAAATGGACCACTGTCAATTAAACCTAATTTTATGTATATGTTTTAAGTGCATTTTCTATAGTTTATAAAAATATATTTAAATTAAATTATGAAACTTAATAAAACAAACCTTAATTTTTCAAAATCAATTAAAAATAAAAATAAATATTAAATCTGATCTAAACTAATCTAACTCGTTTAATAAAATAAAATAGAACACATATAAATATAAATATTTATGATATTAATTTAATTATATATAATCAATCAACATATTAAAAAGTATAATAAATAAAAATAATGTATCAATCTTATATATAAATATCTACACGTATTTTCTTCTCTAAAAGTGATGTATCATTTGTTTTCGACTTCTTAATAAAATATTTTAAAATACGTTAAAAAGATAATCGATAATCAGAATCGTTTGATAAGAAAGATGTCTGGATCCAAAAATATATCGATCTTATTTAAAAAATTGTTACAAATTTATTGATATTTTAACTGAAATGATAATTCTAATTTTTGTGTAAAACAAGTATATTTATTCCTTTTATTTAATATCAATTAAGTTATAAAATTATGGTTTTTAAGGACAATAATTGCCATTTTTCCATTTAAAGGGAGATAAAGGGTCCTGTCAAACCCTAATTTCGGCCTTGCTATTAGTATAGGTACATTAAATATGGCTATTTTTGCTACACATTTATGCCTAGTAATTTGTCGTGATGACACATGTCTCGTTGCATCAACATCTTTAACTAAACTGGATAGAATATCACATGGAGTCGACTTATAAATAATGTCTTGTTGGACACGATCATTCACAATTATCAATCATACGTTCCAAATTTCGATATTTGAAAGAGATTACAATGAGTTAATGATGAGTTAATGATGAGTTAATGATGAGTTAAATTGTAATCAATGATTGATCAGATGGCACAATTACCTCTAAATTTTTAATATACATATATATTATTAATAATATATTTTTATTTATTAAAATTTTAGACATAATATTAAAAAATACCCTTACCGTTTGACTAAATAATTATGTTGATTCTTATTCTTTTTTAAAATACTTTTGCCTCTTGACATTCTATTTTAA